ATCTAGAGACTCTATGGTGACCATTCTACTTTGCAACAAATTACGCTTGATGTGCAGAGTCGGCAAACTGTGATTTTTAAGTTTTACTGCAGATTCTCAGTTAGATTTAGGTATAAACTTTAAGTGGATTATTCCGACACAGATGTGATTTGATTGAAAACATTTATTGCACCTCTGTTTTTTGTGTCTGTTATGCTGCTGGAAAGTGAAACATCACATCAGTCTCAAAAGAGTTTTTTTTTACAGCTTTTAACAGGTTTTCTTCAAAGACTGCTCGGTATTTATTCCTTACATCTTCCTTTCAAGTTTAGCCCTAACACTAAGAAAAGCAGGATGCAACATTTCCATTTTTGGGTTGTGTATTTCACAATGCTCTGTGAAATGTTCTGAGTTTGGGATGTTGTTTTATCAAACCCAATAGAGATACAGGTGCAGCTCTTTCAGAGTGTATCTCTAGCAGCTTTGCTCTTCTAAAGGTGAAGGTAATTATATTAATGTGGCACATTTTCAGCAACAAGACGATACAAAGTTCTTTTAAATAAAATTAATCATAATTGCTAATCAGGAGGTACCACATATTTTTGCCCATTCTTCTTCAAAGTCAGGGATTTAGCTTTGTAACTTAACTCCAATTTAATCTTCGCCACAATTTCATTACTGACCTTTTATGATTAGTATTTCACAGCTGTGTTGAGATTAAATTGTGATCTTTGCTTAATTCAAATGCACATCACACAAAATGTATTACCAAAACTTTTTAAAAAGCATTCTTTTTCCTTCAACTGTGCAGTTATGTGGGACTTTGTGGGCCAAATAAAATATATATGTGTGGTTGTTCCTATTACGACAAAATGTGGGAAAAGTATATGAATAAGGTTGTAAACCAAGAGGTTTCGTCTCTGAAACAAATCTAAAAGGGATGATTGTGTGCTTACAAAAATGACCTTTGTATGCAATTGAAAAACAAACCTATTTAGATGCAGCTGAAGATTTAACACAGAGTAAAGACCGTGACTTGACTCTACAGTAAAATGATGAGCAAGCTCTCCAGTTTAGGGTTTTGTGCAGTAAGGAAATACCAGAAGCAGCTCTGCTGTGGTCAAAGTCTCTACATACAAATGTAATTAAAAACCTTCTTGCAGAGGAATGAGTTAAAGATTCCCTTCGGTTCCAAATACCTTGGCATGGCAACTGGCAGGGCTTTCAACTGGCTTCTAATAAGCCTACTAAAAGGACCTTTAATATGTTTTCTCCCATAAATGATGACAACTCCCTTTAAGGTAACCCCAGTAATGATCTTTATCAAGGAGTCGACAAGAAAAGGTTCACAACGGGTGGAAGAGGAAAAAAACCCCGCCTATGCCGATGGTACTCGGATGGGCTAAAGGCTAATTGTGTCTGAAATGAGATTTTAAGCGTTTGAATTAACAGAGGCTAGAGCACACAGACAGGGAAGGAAAATGGGGGGTATAGGAGCAGGTCACAGGAATCAGCATGTCAGCTCTCACAGAGCCCGTCTCTGTTTATGCAGCTCTGAAAGTCGTGCAGGACGCTGTCTGGTGATTAATTGGAGTTGACTTAGAGGTGCAAACCAAACCATAAGCTGGTGTGGGCTCTTTTTTTTTTTGTTGAGACATTTGTACATCCTCCTCTGCAGTGACTTGGAACAGAGTAACAAATCCCCCCTGCATTTGCAAATAAGACCAACAAATGAGAAAGTGTAACACCAGTCTTATGAATGGATGGCTTTTCCCAAGTTCGGCTGCAGAAAGGACGATTAATTTGAGCATTTAAATGATAAAGAGAGGGGACAAGAGACAGGATCAAGATGTGAGGAACAGTGTTTATTGCTCCAGTAAAGGAGTAAATATGATGTAGCATCTCCAGCTGTGCACTCAGCTCTGTCAGTACGTGTGGTCGGCATGCAAATACAGGGTGATGGATGTATGTGGTCGAGTCTAAAAGGAGCGAGCCACTGAGGGGAGAAAAAGACGAGGCTGTGGTCGCTCAAAGACTAATGGGCCGATTAAGAGCTTCAAGGGGGTGGCCATTTATTTGTTGTGTGTGACTGGATGAAGATTCACTTCATTAATATGGGCTGGCACTTACCACCATTGTATGTGTGTGTACCTCTCTGGCAACCGTGGATCTCTTTCTTTATGTAATTGTGTTTGGGAACATTTTATTTAAACATTTATTTTTCCTTCTGGAACAAAAGTAAATCTTCTGTATTCAAGAAACGGGAGGATTTATTAAAATGTTCTGTCTGTACCAGTATTGGCTTTTGATAAGTTGTACGGGCAGCTACCCAAGAGGGCAGTAAACCCCAGATGAAAAAAAAAAAAAGTAAACTAGTTTGTCAGTTCTCTGGGCAAGTTTTCTTTTGCTTGTATGCATGTGCTGTCAATGGGAAGTTGGAACCCCCCCTGGCTGAGTTGACATTGCACAGGCTGTCCAAGCTCAAAAACTCTCCAATGTGACTAAATTAAAACTATTCTGCAAAGTAGAGTGCAGAATAGTTAATCTCTGTAAAAGATTAATTGTCAGCTATCATAAAAATTGATGACAGTTCTTGGTTCAACCAGTTATTAGGTTTAGAGGGCAACTTCATTTTGATGTAGACCCAGGTTGGATTGGACCTCTTTGTCCTTCTCGTAATTTAAATCACCATTTAATGTCATGTTGTATTTATTAAGGTGATCGCTGTCAGATATGAAAATGAGCTTTTCTGGCCTTTCTTTTTGAAGAAGAGAAATTATCCGAAACAGAGGAACAAATGAACTGTTTAGACAAAGACATCAGGGGAGTATTCTATTTATTTAGGCTTTTACAGCTTGTTTTGTCAAACAGCTTGTGATCCAGCGCGGCCCCCTGGAGGATGCCTCTGTGAATTGTTGTAGATTCACAGCACCCACAGTCATGTCTCTGCTAAGACTTTGATATTTGGTGGAGTTCATACAGAAGAGCAACCACTAATAATTCAGTCGTATCCCCATTTTAACGAAAGACCGTGCTGACAGATTGAGCTCGACTGAGTCATTATGGTCTGATACAGCTTCGGTGATGTGATTTACGAGGCAGAAATGTAATAAAAGCTTAAGGCTATAATGGAGCCTGTCATATCAACCAGCTTGTCAACATAATTGCCACTTTCATCTGCAATTAGATTCAATTGCATTCATGATTTCCATTTCCACATGAGCTATTCAGCTGTGAGATAGTCAACCATTAGGTTTAAGATTTAAATGTCATCCTGAAGGACATTTTGATGGTCACTCTGACACTTGTGCCCACCTACCTTGAACTTCCAGGGATGGGTTGTTTCGTTAGTGGCAGGAACATATTCTGTTCCCTAAACCCTTCTGGCTTTATTGCCTAAAAAGCACAAAATAGTTTCCCTTTCCTTTGTTCAAATGAACCACAGATGGGTCAGTATAAACTTTTGTCCTCTGATGTCCTTTTCAGCTTGTTTCTGCTCAGTTGTTCCCCAGCTCAACTGAATAAAGAAATCAAACTTTTGAGTTGTTAAAGTAATTGCCAAGCTGGCACGTCCCAAGCTCCTCAGCAAAGAGACCAGGGACACTTCAGAATGTTAATGGTCGCCCTTTTCCAACTAGGGCAGTGCATTCCTGGCATATGCTCAGCTCGTCGTCATTGTGTGCATGGAGCAGAGAGAAAAAGAGAGCTAACATCTCTGCAATTTGTCTACAAGATAAAGAGGTCTTGTTTATTTAGTGACCTTGCCTTTAACTCCCATCTACTTCTCAATAGCTCCTTAAAATTTCAGAAGTTCAAAGAATGAGAGAATTTTGGTCATGTGTGGGGACATGAGGGAAAACATTCATGGGCAAAAATCAGGCTGTGATGCCTTTTTATTCTTGTAGATTGATGCTATCAGCATGTATAATCCTGAGTTTTACTCAGAAAATGGTTTAATGTAAAAAAAATAAATAATAATGGTTTTAGTTCTGCAACAAGCAAGTAAATTTATCTGATAAATTTTTAATGAGCTCACACATTTTCAGGACCACTGGAGAAAAAAAAACTTGAAACTTTAATACAGACTGGCAACTGAGAGCAGACAGCGTTAAGGACAGATATGCAATTGTGCAGAAGAACTTTGCTTTTGGAGAAAGATGTCAATTCTAGTGTTTTCCACAAGTGATAAAAATTAGGAATGAGAAAAATTAGTACATCCCAATAAGTAATCAGCTCTTTAATATGTTTACATAATTTGTACCGCAAATATTTGAAGTAAGCAATATCCACCTGTACCAAACAAAATATGTTTTACAGCTGAATTCACACAAAATATTAATGTGTGGCACTAAACTCTGCTGTTCTGGAACATTAAGGTTCCTCATTTCTACAGGGGAGAAGAAGGCTGAACCAAAAGGTTATGCCAGTTTATGCATTTTGTCGTAGTGTGCACTTAACTGCATTACAGGATCTGAGTTACAAGAAATCAGATATTACTCACCTGAGAAAACGTCAAAAGGAGTGTAAGCATCAGTGGTTGTGAATAAAAATCAATTGACGTCCAAATGGCTACCTCTAGCATCCAGTTATTTATTTATTTAAATTGTTTCAAGTGATGAGACAGCAATCATCACTGAAAACAGAATTTTGAATTAGCATTGTCCAGTATAGACTAATTAAAGAACGATTAAAGAAAACTATATGGGCAATAGATTTTTTTTATTATTATTTTAAGATCGGTGCTGGAGCTTTGCAGTAATGAGCTAATAGATATAAAGTGACAGTTGCCAAACTTAGGAAGAGGTTTATGAGTTATTTATTTTACTAACATGTAAGTTGCATATATGATCATGACTTTAGTTTTCAGAAAAACCACCCCAAAAAAACAAAAATAATTTAATTACATTTACAGCGACAAGCTTTAATCATAACAACTAATAAATATCAGGTGTTAGTACCTCTGCATTCCAATTATTTGACCAAGAAAGAATAAAAAAGTTCATTGAATAACACAAAACACAAATGAGTTGGCCAAAAGCAGCCCACTTTAATCCCCATGAGTTAATTTTTCTTTGAATGGATCTCATTTGAAACACACCTCTGCTCAAACGTTTAAATTGCGACAGAATATAGGGAGAAATAATGTGACATTTACAAATGTGAATCACAACACAAGGCCTGCGGTCCGTGTTACAAGAAATCTGTTTGTCAGTAGTTTATGCATTTCTGTAGCACAGAATGAACATATGCAGGAAAAACAGGAAACAGGATTTGTGGTCAGCAGTACAAATTGAGTAATGGGCTTGTAAAACCTAACCAAAAATCAAGGTATTCATATTAATGATGAGCCAAGTTTGTGAATTCACTTCAGAAAAAAGACATAGAAAGAGTAGAATAATAGAAAAACAGACATACAACAAATTACAATATAGTTTTTTTTTACTTACAATTGAAATTCAAATACGGTGCAATATATGGTTTTATTTTTTTGGTTCCTACAAATGTTTCCAGTTGCTGAACTTCCTATGTTTTGGCAGGTTTAAGTACAATTAGGAGCTTCGTGATATTAAACCACAACACTGACAAACAGCAGAACACCAGGGACTAATTGATAATATCAGGAACGTAATTGTGAACATGCCGATTGTGAACGTGGAAAATTTCTGGGTCGTCATACGTGGCCTCTGCTTGTAGGAACCCTGAGATTGTGTTGGTGTGAGGAAAAAAAAAAACCCAACAAATTTAACGGGGAGCCACCACATGATGTTAACACAAAATGTCCTCTGATAACTACGTCACTAAACTTCAATGCATCCTCCAGACAAATCTACTAGTGTTTGCATTCAACATGTTTGCTCTATTACAAATAATTCTTTCAATATTTAACAAAGACATTTAAATACTGAGTTCCCGCTACAATACATTTCTCTTGTAACCCCGTTTCCCCAGTTTATGCCTGAAAATATGACAAGAATACACTTCGACTAAAAGGAGAGCCTGCAGCTGGATGATGCGGGTCCACCTGATGATATCCAGGCTACCACTAGCTGGATTTAAAAACGGATGTTGCTGGTCACTTGAAGGCTGCCATAATGCTTTAGTTTCTGTGGGAAGAACATGGGAGTGTGCCATAATTGAACAGATGCAACAAAGTATGGAACAGACGCCAACCTGGAGAATTATTTATATCAACACGAAGGAAAGAAAAGCACAGCAGCTGCCAAAAAAAAGTCTGAGAAAGAAAAAAAATTCTAATGTTGGAAAAAGAAAACAAACAAAAATAAAATAAAAAAAACAAGTTGCTGCTATGGTGCTGCCCCAAAGCAAGCAGAAGCACCACTGCAGACACGACTGCTCAAAAATATAAAAAAAGACCATGCATTAAAAGAGTGCTTTTATTTTCTGTTTCCTCCTCCTCCTCTCACCTCGGAAACATGTGTCTATTGAAACAGCACTCAGAGTTCCTCTTCGTTAGCTTACTTCCTGTTGGCTCAGCCACTGTCAGCTGACTAATAACATGGTGGAGATGATTTCTAATACACTGGGCCTGGGGCTTCGTCCTGAGGAAAACGTGAGTGGAGGAGTGTCTCCATGTAGGAAACGTAGCCGCTGCTTGGTGTGTAACTGTCGGCCATGTGCTGCGGTGGTGGTAGCGGTGGTGAGGAGGAGGATGGAGCAGATAGGAAGGGGTCAGAGTTCAAAGTGGCCTGAAAAGGGGTGGGCTGATGAGTCGGCGGAGGCTTGGAGACCAGAGGAGGCTCAGCGAGGTTGTCGCCTGTGTCCATTGGGGTCTCTGCGTCCATCTGAACGCTGCTGACGGTAGTGGGGGCTTCCTGATTGGTAGTAGGAGTCATGGAGGGAGGCTCCACGGTTGGCTGAGTGGTAATACTGTGATTCTGCTGTGCGGGTGCAGAAAGTGGAACCGGGGTGTTAGCCCCAACTGAGCTGGAGGGCAGCCGGCGGCGCTTCGCTGCTTGAGCTTCATCAACTGGGCGAACTTCCTCCTGTGGGGTAGGTAAAGCCTGGAAGCAGACAGAAAAACAAATAGAAAACTTCAACAAGTTGAAATAAGTCATCTTTACCACATTTTTATATCCCTGCGCTTCCATCATTCTCGATCCCAGGACGTTTTTACACAAACAGTGACTTAGTGACAGAGGTCAAAGCTGATGAAGTGGGAGGAGTTTCTGCAGATGCAATTGTTTTAGGACTCAGCACTCACATTGAAACTGCTATGGAAAATATCATAAAAGGCAATCCAGATCTCATTGTCAAAATGTGTGTTAATCAAAGCGTTAATTTTTAATCAAAGATAAAATTTCATTAAAAAAATAATTGCTAAAGTTCAGTAGCCCAAAAGACACCTGAAGTTTGAATTTAAAAACATTAATAGACTGTGGTGCCCTGAGGTCTTCAAGAAGGCCGCTCTACAGGCCGTAATAATAAAATTATATCTTGCTGTGCATTTTATTGCTTGTGCACACAGCAAGGAATTTGATATGAGTTTCACATCCATTTAGATTAAAAGCACGTGAAGTACTTTGCATATAATCAGAAGATGGCTTTCTGAAAATCTAAGCAATCTGGGTGGCTTGTACAACAAAAGCAACCGAGTTGAATATGCAGAGCTAGAACTGTTTTTGATTTTAAAACCAATCATTTAAAAAGAATCTCAATATAATTTCTGTAATGCTGATTATCGCCACCATTTTATCAACACTTTTATGTCGAAAACCTCTAGTGGCCAAACAAATGTTAGCATCAGATTATTTTCCAGTGTTTATGCTGAAATGCTAAAATCAACATAGTCAGGGCTGTTTAATGCTGCTTGCTATCATTTATCTGTTGGGGAACTATCAAATAAAGTAGAATTTGCAGTAGAAATACTGCCTCAAAATTCCTTTTTAATTCATGAACAGGAAAATCAGAGTTTAAGACTCATTTGAGTGACTGTGGTGCAGCCTGCGACATCACCTAGTCATCTGTGAAAGACAGTAATGCAGGTTTGTTTTGCTTTCTGGCCATCACAAGCTTGGTTAAGTAAAAAAATAGACATTAGAAGTGAGGTATGAGAACCACAGGACATTTGAACTCCAACATGGTAATGACTTCTTAAGCACAAGGGAGTCACACATGAATGCATTCTCTGTTTGGTGTCTCATTTGCTCTAAATGGACTTTAATTAGACAGCAGAAAGTAAAGTTTGAGTAAAATACTCACCAGTCGAGCTCTAACTCTTTTAGGTAATTCATGATCCAGCTGGAAGATCTCTGACTGTTTGAGCATCAACTGACTTTGATCCTGAAACTCCACCTAAATGAAAGTATTAAACAATGAATTAGTTAGAAATTTCAATCGTTTTTGCTTTTGTAAAACAGAAAATATTTGGCATCACTTTGAAACTGGTAATCATGAGAGGTTAAACTGGAAAGAAACTGCCTTCATTGCACAACAAAGGGGAACACAGCGGGGAATAAATGACAGAGAGGAAATCAGATTTGTTCTGAGTAAAAATTCAAATGTAAGCCAGGAAACCCAACCTGGGCCCGTCTCACTCAGCGCTACAACAATGGAACCATCAACCAACATGTGCTGCTGTCAAATTATCCTTGACCATGGCATTGAACCAAAGCTGCTCACTGACTGGATCAGAGCCTCACTTAAGCTCCTTAAATATAAATGTAGATTTTAACAATATTTCGCAAAAGAGGAAAAAGGTCAGGGTTCTGACTCTGGCTGCTTGAACAGCTGGAGGATTGTTTTTCTTTTTTTTTTTTTGTTTTGTTTTGTTTTAGTTTAGCGCTAAAACATGTCAAAGATACTGAATAGAAAAACTTAATGACACAAAAATGACTCTTGTGGAGGTCATTTAGAAAACTGCAACAGCAATACTAACAGTAATAAAACACCTATGAAAAAGTATTCACACCTTTGTGAATCTTTTTACATCCCATCACAAAGAGGAGATTAATTAATGTGGAAGCATTATGATAACTCAAAAGACTTTAAGCTGTAATTGCAAGGTAAGGAGGTTGGGTAAATATTGTTTTGGGGGGAATGCATATGCGAGTCGCTTTTCAGATTTATGGAAAGAAAATTAAAATTGCCACTCATCATTTTCACTATTATGTGAAAATGTCAGTGTCACATAACGTCTAGGTAAAACACACGAGTGTAAAGTGACATTTTAAAAATAGCATAGGTGAAATCACAAGAGATATTTTAGAAATTATGCAAGTGACCAATGGAAAAAAATAAAAAAATAAGCAGCTGGAGACATCCACTACAACAAATTGGATACAGAAACAAGAATCAAGGCAAAATCTGGAGAAGAATGTTTACATTTTCCTGCTAAACATGCATCTGTGTCTTTCTGCTTCCAAGTTAATTTGTGGATGTCCCTTTGTTTGTAAAAGTCCTAGAAATTAGGTCACTTCCACGTTTCCCCATTTTATAGAACCATTGCATGTTCCACATCACATCTTAAATTTGTTGTTACTGCAGTATCACTGTTTGCAAAGAATGACCCTGGAGTGCAGTAAGTTAGTGTCTGAATAGATGGTTACTAAATTGCTAGCTGTGTCCTTAATATATTTGGAGACATTTTAATGATGCATAAAATCTTTAAGAAGGTCAAGCCAAAACATCACGTCCAGTCAGACACAATCAACATTCATTAAAATGGATTTGAAGTGGAAATGATGAATGATTTTGTCCTTTAGAATTTCTATAGACTTTATCTGGTTTCCACATTTCCTTTTCAAAAGCAAAAAGACAATCTAGTTTCCAAACAGATGAACACTCAATTTTTTGCGTCGTATATTCAAGTTTGTTTTTTTTTTTTTTTTTTTTTTTTTTTTTTTACTAGATCAGTGTCTCATCTGCCAACCAGAGGAAGTGTGGAGTTGGCACTTACGGCATCACAGCAATGGGTCAATCTCCAAATTTGACCTATAAATTCTCCAAAGTGCATCTGTGCGACTTTATTCTTCACTTTATTTCTAAATGTGATTGTGCAACAATTCTCATGCAAGCATTTTTTTGTTATTAAAATTCTGTGTAACCCCTCGTTCCTCTGTTCAAAAAGCAATATATCAGCCTATTGTCACCTACAAAACTTTTTGTCTCACTTAAATTGCTGATGATTCAGGTTAACAGATTTCCACTCACCTGGTAGAGTTTGTGGACATGCTCTTTGACATAGGAAGCATTCAGGTTTTCACCATCCGGTGTACTGACCACAATCAGCTCCCCTGCATCAGGAGGACCGTTATGCAGACAGTCATGACTCTGGAAGAGGAAGGTCAAAGATGAGAGAACTGGAGGACAAATATAAAAGAAAAGCACTGAATTATAGAATTCTGCACAATTTCATTCATAGTTCTAGTTTTACATCTACAAGGGCTATCCTTATTTTCAGCTACTTACAGCTTAGTAAAAAGTTTGAACTTCTGAAATTCAGGGCAAGTATTTAAATTAGATTACTTGTATAGCTACGTTATGAATTCAACCTCCCTAGAAGCAACTTTTAATGATTTAATTTTGTTTCTTGCCATCTTTAAACAGCAAATATTAAAGGTTATCTATATTTGTATAGCGGAATACATTTTCTATACCTTCAGCCGTGGTTTAGTCGCTAGGATATATTTGTAGGCTTTGAAATGAAAATACCATACAGACTATAATCATAAGAATAGCTGCTTGGATTAATGGAGGAGAGGTCCTCCAAATTTTTCATATAAATATTCCAGACAAAACTTTCCTGAGTACTCAGTCTACCTTCCATTGCCTATAGCAAGTGGTTTCTTCATCACAAGAACACAAAGAAAAAATGAGATGGGGAATAAAAGTTTGCAAATACAAACATTTTTCAACATCCTTTTTTCTCTATACTTATTCAGACCTAGTAAATATTGAGATCAAATTCCAGACTGCATAACAACCCTGTTGGTGTAAACACTCACCACTATATTCTCTGGGTACACGTTGTCACAGTATGAGCCTTCTTCAAAGTTGACCTCGTAGAACGTCTGCGTTGCAATGCCAATGATGGTGCAGTGGTAGTACCAACTGTCGGATTTCCGCCCAATCACCTTGAGACCCAGGTCTAGACCCTGAGGAGCAGGTTTAGGGGCTGTCCGAGGCTTCAGACAAAAACAAGACAAGAGTCAGGACTGGGACTCAGCAAGAGCAATGTCTGGGTTATTCTATAATTATTAATCATGTTCAGTCTGGCATATAAAACCAAATATGAGTATCCCCAATTAGAAGTAAAAGTAATATTTAATGCAAGTATTTCAATATTATTTTTTAAAAGGAGTTTGAGATGGGTTTATCCAATTGACATGACACCGGCCTCGCCCCCTTGTGGAAGTAGAGCTGCCAGATTTGTACCATTACTGAACTGCAGTCAGAGAGCACACAAAATAATTCCAAGGGCCATAAATGGCCACCTGGTCACACTTTGAACATTCCTGATTTACACCAACGTAGCAGAAAAAGCAAAAAATGCAAACACACTCACCTTAATCACCTTATTCACCATCTGGATGCCCTTTTTATGTTTGTGGCAGGTGACTGACACCACGTAGGGCCAGTCTGCGGGTTTCATCACCACTCCAGCAATCTGGGCGCATGTGACATGGAAAGAGGTGGCGCAGTTCTCATGTGTGCACTGGATGCAGGCGCCGCGGTTAGGACTGGGGTTTGTTGTGTGGCAGAATACACATTTCTGTAAAGACAAAAAGCACACACTGAAACTTCAGTTCATCTTTAAGCATAGAGACATACTCTTTTCAATGCTGGAAACTCAAATTTTACCACCCATATTGACCAATTTTCCTCTTTTCTATCACTTTCTCTTACTACTCTCCATTTATACTTCATTTGCAGCTATTGGAATATTCTATATTTAAGACTAAACACTCGTTTGAAACTTTAAATCCTAACATATTAAAAAATATTTGACATGTTACAATTTAAGTTTTGTGTAATTGAAAAATCACTATTCCCCTTATCTAACATGATTCTTCAATCAGTGACAATGAAATTAGTATTTAGGATTAGAAGAAATGACTGGACATTCTGGCAAGGGAATACATAACAGCAGGATGACCAGCTCTCTTGCCAAACCTCCACTTCCGTGTGCACTGCGTAGGAAATCTCTTGGACCAGAGTAATCTGCAGAACTACAATTACAAGCAAATAAAATTATGAGCAAAGGACTAAAGCCTTTTTGAATTAGTATCTCTGGTGACCTAAATAACATCAATTCAACTCAAAAATGTTGTTGAATTTATGAGTTGGGTTCCTTACTGCCAGTTACTTGTGGTGCTGACTAACTTAGTAGTTTCCAAAGAGAAGAAACATCACATCATTTGTTTTGACAAATGTTAACTAAACAACACTAACTTGGATCAGTTGAAAACATCTACAATCAGAAACATTCTGTCTTTTAAATTCCCTTCTCTTTCCCTGTTTTATATAGCCTCTCCTTAAAAAATGAATGAAAATTAGAATGACTGAGCAGCTGAGCAACCAATCAATGAAAGAATAAATGTATTTTATCATCATGTCAATATTTCATTTTTGTTCCTGTACAGGTCAGTTTGCCTCCTATGATTGCTACCAGATAGCAGTTTTGAAACATCATGAAGACGGTGATATAAAAGCAAACAGCAAAACTCAGCAGCAACATTAATTGTGTTGCAGCTTGCTGCTGAATGTTCATATTAAGTCAGCAAATAAGACAGTTCACTATACATCTCTTTAAAAGTAAACTGCTGACTTTGGCTGCAAACAAGGCGATGCAATACCTATATAAAAATACATTGAAAGTGTGCATTTTGTTGACTGTGGGATTTTTGCGTTTTAAGGTTTTACTAACAACTTTGTCAAAATGAAATTGGTGTATATAAACTATAAACCTATATAATTTTTTCTCCCAATCATACTTTTGTTGGGAAATATACACCACAATCACTTCAAAAAAGACCCTTGGCTCCACTGAAATCTTATTATTTGGCAAAGGTATACATTTATTTACCTAAGACCTTCAGCAATTCCAAAGAGTACCAGCGTCAAGACTGTACGTCACGCTTCAATGCTGGTTAAGACGCAGAACCTTATTACAGTTTTCATCCTAACCATTTGGAACGGCTCTTTTACAATGAAAATATATTTCTGCATCAGCTTGAAGGTGTTTCTGACATTTGTCATTGTCAGAATGAAGAACAAATCAGTATTGACATCAGTTTCGCCTTTATCAATATATATTTTCTATTTTCATCTTTAAAATCTCTACAAATCTGGAAACTTAATTAGTATTGTAAAAGTAAACATACATATGATATAAACAGCTTATTCCAATTCTTGCATGATCTAAACTTGCATGTTGATTTACCCGGTTTTTACCAGCATGTCATTGCTAAATTTAAAGTCCTTTTGGATTGAACTACTTAAAGGGATAATTAATATAAAGACAAGTTGATGTTAAATCTTTTCTTAGTTCTGGATTCTGCAACTGAAGCAAAATTATGATTTGTTGATTATGATTTACAACTTCTTAACTATAAATACACTGCTGTAGAATGTAAAAAATGTAATCTAATTTTGGCCAAAATCACATCTTTTTAGGATTTTCACCATCCAACGATGGCCTATAAAATCCAACACAACAATGACAAGTTTCCTGAGAGGCAAATGTTGAAGAGTAAAAGGGTGACACGGTGACTGGAGAACACAGCGCAATATAAACTGGTTCCATGTGTGCGTGCTCACATTTGATCAGACCAGTCATCCGAATCATTAGAGCGCACAGCTTCTTCTCAAAGCTTTTTAAGTAGAGACGGAAGAAACCTTCTCTGACAGCGCATCAATGCAAATGTCACCCAGCTTGTCTTTGATAGATTATTCACAGAGAAGATGAGGCTGAGAGGTGACATTATTTGTGCGTTTGTGGTAATGTAGCAGCAAGTGCTACGATCACTCGCCACAGAGCAGAGACTACAAAAGAGGGACTGTAATAAAACAAAAACAGCAAAAGGAAAGAACAAAATAAGTTGTGTTTAAAGATGAGGCAGCAATGGGGAAATTGCCTTCAACCCACGGGATCGATGCAGTTCATTTGGCGCAGTGAGAAATGACAGCTGATTATTCAGCCATTCCCCTCAGCATGTCTGTTTTACTCCACTTCTCAAAAAAAAAAAACTACAATCTATCAATCCACCAGGAAAGGAAGCAGGGCAACAGAGAAAGTGACAGACACAAAGGCAATGAACAGGAAAGAAAGCAATCCGCTTCAGAGTAGGAAAAGACTGGAGGAGCGCAGGAGGCCCTGGAGACTTTATAAGCGTACAGAAAAAAATCATCATGGCGAGCACCAATACAGAAAAGTTTTTACTTTCCCCAGAGACGGCTGGTAATATAAAGAAAGTTGAACTCTGCCTGTTTAATAATAAACTATGGAATGAGACTTGTGCACACCTCGTATTTGTCTCCATCTGCACTTACCAAACTCTTGCGGGTTTCTGGGACAGCACTGACATCCACCGGCTCCCTGTCGATAGCGTTGACAAAGCGAGCTTCTGGCACACCGATGGCACAGATGACGTGGGCCCATCTGAAGTTAAAATCAGACAGGAAAGAAATTTTTAAACAAAAAAAACCTTGCTCTTCTAAGGACAAAATGTCAAACTCTTTTGCTATAAATGCATCTTTCTGATTAATTTAACATTTCAAATATATAAACTTACAAAAGGTCTGCAAGCACTCACCTGTTGTCTGTTGTCATCTTCAGTGCTCCTCCACGAAGGTTGCAGAGGCAGCATTCCTAGAACAACAGATACATTCTTTATAATCAAAGGTTTGAGCTGAAAAATCCTAATTCTTTTAGTACACCTCACATTTCTCTGGATATTTCTTGAACATGCATGACGACTTAACAAATTAGTGAAGTGAATTAGCCATTATTCTCCATCTTTGTGTGAACATCATCTAAGTGTTCACTCACCACTACCCAGGCTTCCGCTGTACACCTGGTGCAGGTCCAGGAATTCCTGACAGACTCTGGCTTCAAACCGTAACAACCTGAAAGAGAGGAGATGATGATTATTATATGACATATTATGACATATTTTTAATTTTGTATAAGTGGAAGTGTACAACACAGAACGGCCTGCAGGGCCACCTTTCCTGCGGTTCTCTGCTAGAACACATTTGAACACCAAACCTCCTTGCTAAGCAATTGTTTTTCCTGTTAATAAATAGCCCAATTTTCTCACTCCAATTCCCAATTTGAGGTTACCAGCAAACAGACCAGCAGATTTAAAAAACACCAGGACATGTTTCAAAGATTTTTAGTTGAATGTTCAGCCCAGAAGACTGAGGAACAAAAACAATGGGAATGCACAACTGGCATTTTTGACAGGAGTTCTTTCTGCTTTATGTATTCCTATCAATAGCAGCGCTGTTTCAGCAGCTCTTCCCAGGATGACTAACGAACCGGCCTTGAAGGTGTGTTCCAGGTTTAGGGATAATAAGAACCCAGGAGGGTTAATGTGTGTGTTGTGGACTTCGTGTATATGTGTTAGTGATGTGATTTATGAGTTTGTTAGTTTGGGTTCATACAAACAAAGTCCATCAGGCATTTCAAGAAACTCACATTATTCATTTGAAATCTATTTTTTCCATACTAGAAGGAGATTTTTTTTTTATATGTATGATTACACAATGAGTATTTATTTTAAATTAGTACATTTACAGTTACAGTGACAAAACGTAATCCACAAAAGTTTTATCTAACTAAATATAACTCGGTTTGAATGTTTATATGATTTAATAAGGCACAAAAATTAAGGATCTGAGAAATGTAAACAGTATTTCATTTAAATCCTAAATCATATTAGTTGGTTAGGGTGAAGGAAGCTCCTTTCATAATATTCTAACATACTTTCAGTTGCGTAGTATACTGTTTATTAATTAGCTTAGTACTTACTGGCATGAACTTGCATGGCGCAACATTTACACTGGATCAAAAGGCTGGATCCATCTTCCCCGATGTGGTAATTTGTGGGTGGTGGTTCTGTGTTGACTGCTCCTACACTGAAGCACATCTCTGGGACCAGTGGTCGAGTTGAAATACCATGTCGAGGTAGGGAGGTTTCAGGGGTCAAACTGATAGCATCTCTGTTTGGCTTGAATGGAATGGAAATGAGATATTCAATTTCTGAGTAATCATGTGTATCCTCCAAAAAAGTGTGTACGCAGCAGTTTGTGTTTCTACCTTCACGTAGGTACAGAAAAGTGAACAGACAGCACAGTATGGTTCAAGTCCAGCCACGGCAGCATTGAAGGACTTCTCAGCCAAAAAGTTTGGGGAGTGATTCCGCCATAAGTGTTCCTGTTTCTTCATGCTGCTATCCATCGGCATTTGAGAGGACAGCTCTGTGGACAAAGACACAAAAAAGCATGAGTGAAAACTCGTATTATTCAGTAAATCACTCTTTTGTCGTCTGATGGGTTAAGCTTCTTCCTAACTAACTTCCCACTCTGAGAGGTAAACACTCAACCAACTCTCCCTCCAACTCCTCTTCCTTTCATAAATTAATGAGACTGAGTCAACAGTTTAACTAGGATTCACAGACCACACACAATAGCGGTCGGTCACTCTTTATTTTGCAGCTTGCTCTTGACTCTGAGCCAGGTATTATTTAATGACTCATATGGAGCCTGAGTGTGTTTTACTAATTTTAGGCTTAAGGCAACCTTTAAAAACTTTTCATAGGTTTACGAACCGGGCACCAAGGCAATTTACTGCTACTGAAAAACTTAGGATTAAAGGTGACTTAAATAATTGAAGGCCCACAACTACTCCAAGACTTTATATGGTTCTTTAATTAGTAATGGTTGGCAGCCTAGAATATTCAGATTAAAAAAAACAAAAAAAAAAAAAATCAATTTAATCAAACCTGACTTTCCCCAACTATGAAATTGGAGGATTCTAAGTGGAGGCTTTGCCAGATGGAACGGCTTTCCTACTATTATTTGATGGTTTCTGGAACATCCGACAGGGTGCGTAAAGTCTTCTTTTCCTCTGAGTGGATAGCTAGTTGCTCACTGACCAAGTTTTTTTTTTTTTTTTTTTTTTTTTTTTTACTTTTGATGTCAAGCCTTATCCAATCAGGGATGTCTGATCTGGAGCCACAGCATTGGGAGCTCAGGGGTTGAATCCTTCTCAAAAGGCAAAGTTCTTAGCCTAACAATGGCCCTGGGTCTTCTTCTATTGTAGGGTTCATTGTCCTTTTTGATCTTTACTGGACTTCCTGCCTGAAGATTACAATTGACTTTCCTCCTTCCGCATGGGGTTTTCCACAATACAGAAATGCTTCATTGGTTAGTTCTGTTACCAGACTGTCTTGGGTCAATAATGATGTCAACATCATGTGTACAAAGAAAGTGCATGATCTTATGCCTTTCACGCTCTCAGACCATCTGTGGACACCTCCCCTTACTAAGGGCAGCTTCTTATCTGTTTTGACTGCCTCCATGCTGGCAGTCAACAAAAGTGAACAAAATCTCTATTCCTTCATTTAACTAAAATATATAATCATTAGAAAGTTAATCTGATTTAACAAGTAAAAATGCCTCATATTGAAACCTTGATTTAATACAACGGTATTTATTTAAAAGAAAGCAAGAATATTTTTACCATTTGAAATTACATTCATAAAATATCTGCTTTTTGTCTTTTTTCCAAAGTGCTTATACTTTATTTTTCAATCATATTATGCATGGAAACAAAAGGATGGTCTCACCTATTTTTGACAGCCCCAACTGCAGAAAGACCCCTTTTTAAAAACTACAATATAAAGCATTTTTAAAGGATACCTGGAGGGATGTCTTGAAAAGAAACAGCAATAAGCTCGAAGGCAACACTGTAGTCAGTCCTTATATAATTGGTGATGAACACAAACAGCTCAAGCATCAATAATTTGCCACTCCGGGTCAGAATCAATTTTGCGGCGTAGCCCTTGAGCTACTGATCCACTTTGTTTTGTTAGGCCTGGACAGAAGTCAGGCAGATCTTTTCACAAGATTTCCCGTTAAACTGTTGTCTGTTTTCCCACCACTGCTTCTCCTCGTCCTCATTCTTTCCCACCATCCAGTCCTCTGAAGGACAGACTTGTAGTCCCCGGCCACACAAGCTAAAGTGACTTTGAAAGCAGGTAATTGGAAGTCATGATCCCTGGATCAATAAGTGTCAGTCAGAAAATGAAAAGAAAAAAAAAGGGAGCGAATAGGAAAAAAAAGCCTTGCCGTCTTGATTTCATTTATTCCAACAGGGAACTTTAGTCTAGCTTGTTTTTCTTTCCTCAGATCAATAAAACAAATAAAAATGGTGTCCTCTTCACTTTGAGCACTTTGATGGAGAGAACAACTACAGGGATGAATAACAGGAGGGATTGAAAAATTCTGTTTGTTTTAGGTCATAAGAAATTTTTCCAATGTTATTTTATTGCAGCTTTTTTATAAGATCCCATTAAGAACAAATTTAAAATGGCAATTTAAAGGGAGCACAAATTTAAAACAAGTCTGCTTCTTTTAACTGTTACTTTAACTGTTTGTATGACCTGAAAAAAAAGTATTGACTTTGCCATTTGCAGCTGTAGTTAAGACTTATGTGAAGCTCATTGTATTTTAACCCTGTTCAAATTTAGATGAAAATGCAAAGCTCCATCCTCATCTCTCAACCATCTGTTTACTTAAATAGTCCCTTATTTCATCTGTGCAGTCTTCCGACAGCACAGATGAAGAAAAAATAAATGAAAACAAAATCACACACCTTTCTCTGTGGTTGGGTCTTGTTTGACGATGGACAGAGGCGAGCGCATGGGTGGTTTACTAAGAGGATGGCGCCGACTTTTCTTCACCTCCTTTGGCATTTTCATCTTAGTGAAGGTCAGCTGCTGAAGTAATAATAATAACACATTCTTTAAGTTTTCAGTATTGTTGAATTTAACAACACAGTTGTCCTGGGTCATTTGCTGCATGTCTTTCCCCTCTCTCTATTCTATTTCTTGCCAAGTCACTGCTAAATAAAGGCCACTAGTGAATGAAACATACTTTTTAAAAATGTAACTATTCAAAGGTTGTTCCAGGATTCCTTTCTTGTAACAAATAGCTTTTGTGTATCATTTCATCTTGATTAAGTCATAATTACTGCCTTTAAGCTCATGCAAAATAATTATTTATTTAGACATTACAGTTTTATGCATGACTTTTTACCTGAGCAGTGTTTATTTCCATGCTCATGTCTTCGTTCTTAACCGACATTGTATCCACGTTCCTATTGGCAGATTTAGCAAACTGCTCAAATGCTTCTTCAAATCCAGATATGGGCCCTTGAATGTTTGACATCCTCTGCTGCTTTTTCAGCTTCTTGTCCTCCACGAAGTTTGGTGGCTTGATATCAAGTTCTTGCTCTGACAAAGACAATTAAGAAAGGTGCATGCTTAAGGTAAAGTTGGGGATTTAAAACCACTGTTGGTTTTAATGAAATCATTTTTTATTATAATTCTAGTTTGGAATGTGATAGTCTCATCTGCGGGCACCCACTAACCTTCTGCTGATGGGGTGTGCGATGCTTTCACAGGACTGTCTGCTGCCTTTGCAGCAGCTTCGGCAGCTTTCTGTTCCTCCTCACGTTCCAAGGCCTCCAAGGCCAACATGGCTTCCCTAGCTAAACGCTCTTCCCTCTCCTGTTTGCGCTGAGCCTCGCGCTCCTCCACCTGACGCTGATACTCAGCTGCATTCAGCTCAATTCCTTCTTCCGCCAGCACCTTCACCTCCTCAAGCTTAAGGCGCCGAACCTGCTTCATCTTGTTCAATGCTCTGATGTGCAGAAAACACAGGTAATTATGAATATTGGGTAATAAAAAGCAGATCTTTGTATATGAAGTCTCATAAACAAGAAACTTCAAATCATAATCCTCTTACTTCTGAAGGAGGTTTTGCCGGTAGGTGATCCTGTGCTGCCTCCAGCTCTCCAGTTCAGGACTGGACAACTCTGTAGCCTTCAGATGATCCAACACTGTGATGTCTCTGCCTTGTTTCCATAGCTCGTAGCGACTCGGTTGCAGGCAGCGAACAAACACATCCATTGAGATTTTCACCATGTCCTTCCGGCAGGAACACTGCAGGGATAGAAAAAACAAGACAAAAATGAACACAAATGCACAGAGAGAACTTTGTTAGAGCAGAGAAATGCTGCAGGTAAAAAATGATGCAAACTCTCTGTAATAAATGTTTAAAAAGCTTCGAACCTGTGAATAAATGTCACTCTGGTGTTTTCAGTCAAACTACAGATGTTTGACTGAAATCCCAGAGCAGCAAGATTACAAATGTGTTGGGGCACAAATTATGCAGAACTCTTCTTTTCTCTCTTTCCATCAGATTAATTATGGTGCAATTGATGTATCTTGCCTTGAGCCTAAAAAGGCAATAAAGCTTTAACAGATTTATAGTCAGAATGATTTCAGAGAGCAATTTATTGTTTTAAAGGTCAAAAAGACACTGCATATAGGATTTAAAAAGAGGGATTCAAAATATCAGGAGGGTAAATCAGTAAACATGCAGTGACTTGCAAAAGTATTCACACCTCTTGAACTTTTGAACTTTCCCATTTTGTCACATTCCAACCACCAACTTCAATCTTTTTTATTGGCAGACTTGGAAGAGAGCATCTGGACATAAATTTCAGTTTTGCCTGGATTTCGAAATAGATTGGGACTTTGCCAAAAATCAAGTCTTTTTCATCTTCTAACAGGTTATTTTCTAGGACTCCCATGTATTTTGCTAGAATTGTATCCAGAAAAACATGCCGTATCATCTGACCAATGATGAGGCAGAATTTCATCTCTGGTACTTCACATATTTGCGGTATCCCTTCAATAACTTGTGGCAAACTGGGCTTCTTCAAGCTTTTGTCTCGCCACTCTTCCATTAAGGCCAGTTCTGGCGTGACTAATGCTTGTGCCATCAAGATTCTCCCACCTGCGCTGTAAATCTCCACAGCTGCTTCAAAGTTATGATGCGTTTCTTCTGATTAATGCTCTCCTTGCCCCAGGTCCTGGTCGATTTGCACTCGTGCCATACCCTTATATTCATTTTGGGATGATGGAACAACATGCTGAAAACTAGAAATGCTGCTTTGAAATTTCACCCTGTCTTCTCTGCTACTTTCTCCTTCACTTGTCTGACATTTTTATGATATTCATGATGTTGTTTGGATTATTTTTAAAACATTTATTACATTGAGATGGACTCCATTCGCAAATTTCAAACTTGTAAAGGCAATTGATTGCACTGTAATTTAAGTAGGGGTAACAGAGTTATGGGGGCTGAATATCAATGTTTTTGAAAACCTTGTTTTCTTTTCAGTTACTCTTCCAATTATGCACCACTACTTAATTATATTGAGAATTGAGAGTGCAATATGATGCAATGTAAAAAGGTTTATGAGATATGAATATGTTTAAAAAGCACTTGTATTTCAGTACAAAAAAAAAATGTGTGACAGACGCATCTGTTCACACTTCAAAATGTCTCCACATCTGTCAATGACAACATTGAACTCTGTGAATTATTCTGCTGAGTGAAGAAGGCAGCAGCTGTGTAATGTAGCAAAAGCACAGAAATTACAAAACAAACTGGCAAAAAAAAAGAAGAAAAAGTCCAGAAAGACGTGAAATAAAACCAGCAGTGATTCAACAAACAGAAATGAAGGTAGGATAGATGGTGGAAGGGTGAAATGTTTTCTTTTTTGCTTTGCTTGCTGTATTACATTCTGGCCCACCATCAGCCTGTGAGCTGTACTCAGAGCCTTATGTTCAATTATGGGAAAACACAACAGCTCAAACAGCCACAGCAAAACAATATCCAGCCAACATCTCATCTTGGCACCACTTGACAGGCGGAAACATTAAAATATGGTATTGGGTGGAGAGCACAGAATTGGAAGGGGGGGGGAGGTGCTGTGAGGGATTAGTCCATCTGACTGTAGCCATCATGAAACATGCAAAGGAGTGTACCAAAATGTGCTACTTTTCTTTATGTACAGCAAGTTGTTAGTATTTTCAAGGACCAAGAAAAATACATTTCATTGTCTGATAAGTACTAAACACATTTCAAGATGCCCAACACTTGAGATTACAAACATGCCAAGGCAGACAGTCAATGAACCACTTGACTCCTAATGGAGCTAAATTGTTTACTCAAAAGCAAACAGGAAGCCTGAGGCCTTTTAATGGACCCTTGAACTCAATGATAGTGCAATAAACTTTGATTTGTCTGCTGTGACCCACTGAGGCCACAAAACTAAGATTATCTAATTCAGTTTTATATGAAGGAGCACCTCATATGAATGAACTGACAAAGTATTCACAGGTCTTGATTTTTTTTCCATGTCATACTACAATCACAAACATCTATCTATTTCATTAGGTATTACGACCAACACAAAGCAGAGCAGTGAAATAGTAGAAAATTGTAAATGCTTTTACAAATATAAAAAGTGACATTCATTTTCAAGCTGCTATGCTTTATTCCAATAGTTCTACATTTTACTATCTTTAAAGATCCCATCACTCCAACAGTAAAATACATGAGCACAACAAAATACATTTTCACAAATTATCAGCAATATTATATGGATATATTCATTGATATGGGTCTGACGTTCACAGCATGGCAGAGGTATATGCAGTGTAAATCTGACTGGTTTAAAACATTTCCTGTGTGCTGGCGAAGTGGACAGCCAAGAAGAGAAGCATACGATGTAAATCTGTGGTAAGAGTCTACTCTCTCTGTCAACTCCCTGGATGTTCATCTGTCTGGCGGATAAATCCACCACCAATTCCCTGGTTTTCCTCAAGGAACTATAGTTTTGCTCACACTAGTCAACCAGGGGTCCTTGCCTAAGATGAGGCCGACTATGACAGTCCTCTGACAATTTTTGCAGATGGCAAAATGGGGAGTTGATGGAAGTCTGCAGTGCAGAGGGTGAAGAGGAACCAGGCCACTACAATTCCCTATGGGACCCCTGTACTGCAGACCACCCTGTCAGAGTCACAATCCTGAATCTTCACATTCTGAGGATGATGTAGTCCAGTGGACATGTGGTCGTCCATTTCTGACAGCTCCAGCTTGTCCCTCAGAAGTACCAGCTGGATGCAATTAAAAGCACTGGAGAAATACAATAACAAGATCCTCACAGAGCTTCCAGGCTTCTTCAGGTGAGTCAGAGCTCAGTGCAGGGGGTAGATGATGTAGGGATGCTTAAGTAAGCAGGCCAGAATTCATGGGAAGATAGATACAGGGTAATCTTGGAAGAAGACTTGTTAAAGGCTGAAGTTCATTTTCAAACAAGATGACGACAGTAGTACAGTGTTTTAGAGCAACACATGACAAAATGGTCTAATCAAAGTCCAGACCTGAATCCACTAGACTGAATACAAATATACAAAGTTGCAGCTGTAAATGCTGAAAGACAGTTTAGAAAGAAAATAAAAAAAACACCCACTTGAGGGGTTAAGGCACATTTTATTGCCATATCTTTTATCTTGCAAAATCTTTTCAAAACCAATATGCCATTTTCATTCCACTTCACTACTATTCAGTAAATTCTGTTGGTTTATCAAAATAAATAAAAAAAAAAAGATTAATAAAATACTCCAAAGTTTGTAGTTGTAACATGACAAAAACATTCAAGTAGAAAACTTTAAGTTGTATGAATGTTTTTGCCAACATATCTCTAGAAAAACTAAAAAACAGGAAAAAAAGAAATTCTTGTCAGACCAATTGCAACTAAACACGCTAATAAACTGAGGTTCACTCTCCAAAGAAAAAAGGCCAGCAATTTCTTCTGGAGAATGATTTCAGCTCCTCTCTCAGACAGGAAAGAAAAATAATTACCATGACTTCTTTGAGGAGCAGCAGCAAACAGTGACCGAGCACCAAACGAACAGAAAAGAGGCTTTCACTAAAAATCTAGCCAACTCAGAAGACAAAGTGTTTATACTCGGCAGCATGTGACAGACGACCGCCATAATCTTAAGGATTATTTTAACCAGCTGTGGTTCGCTGCTGTCAACCAATCCCACTAATGAACTTCCACAGTTTATAAAACCTAAAGCTATTCGTCTTTATTTCTTATGCAACCTATAAGGAACATTTTAAAAGTTTTGAAGAAGATTTTTTTAAACTATGGTTAAATCACAAAAGATATTTTTATGCCATTTATACCTGTATATTCATGTTGATCTGACTAGCAGTGAAATAACTGTTACATTCCCCCCAAAAATAAATAAAATGGTTGTTGGCTAATGTGCAGATTGGAAGGTTGAGAAGACAGTTAATTAAAACTGCACTGTCTCCTGAAGAACAGAGGTACATGCAAACGCAGCATGCGAAAACTGCTGACAGCATTCCCGCTTTGACCGCAGGTGTGTGTGTGTGTCTTCTCTCAGTAAGTCAAGCAGATGGATCAGCAGTTGAGGAGGCTGTATTTAATAAGAGTGGGACATGAAGCACGGCCTGGCTCCCCGTTTTTCTCTTCTCTGTGGTTTGCTGGCAGACCCAAAACGGTGACAAATTTCATACCGTGATCCATCGCTCACTGTCCTGTTCACTGCTGACAGAATAGGGCTCAGTTTGAAAAAAATTAAAAATAAAAGGGTGAGAGGCCAAGTCAGCCAAACAAGTTGTTAGATGACTGGCTGAATCAAAGAAAAAACGGTGGAGGCATTCAGAGAGGCTCAGCTTTTAACTACTCAGTAGCGTGGGTAAACTGAACACAGCTCCGTACATCTAACAATCTAACGCTTATTTAAAGTTCAAGTTTATTTATATAGCACATTTAAAACAACTGAGTACTGTGTACATCTTTCCTGCTGTAGTCAAGCCGTTTACTCATAATATTCTATTTCGTCAACAGGAACCTCAATGAGAATATTGATGCTAAGTTTTCTTAGGATGGAAATACACTGAACTTTCAGGGAGACATTTGCTCAGGCTGCATTTCAACATTTCTCTAGCTCCATGTGCTGCACTGTAAATTTGTAAGCCTAGTTTAGCAGAGCAGAAAAGACCCCTCTTCTTGATCAAACTGACAAAGTGAGCTGGAGATGCTCCCCTGAGCACTGGAGCCTGGGCTACTGGTTCTTAAATTACAAGTGGTCACATGGGTAAAGTAGGAAGGCTGGAAATGAGAAGGAGTAGGAAGGGAGGGAGATGTACTTCTGCAAACTGGCACCTCATAAATCTGACATGCAGCCAAGTAGAGCGAAAGACAGCGAGGAAAACCACACACACATCCAAAGAGAAAGAGAGGGAGGAGTGAACAGCAAAATGAAATGTATAGAAAAGAGATGAGTGCAGAAGGACTTTATTCCACAGGACATTGTAGTTGGACTCCCTTTCACAAACCTACCCATGCCCTGTCAATTTCATGCTCAACAGCCCACAGGCAAAGAGGCAGTTTGCGTCAGCGCAAGGATTCAAGTGTACAGTCGGTGTCAAGAACAGACACCGACTGTACACTTGTACAGACCTTGTAGAAGACTCTACTTTTATATATCGATGTAATCTATGTCTCTATCCTTTAAGGAGAAAGATAGCTGCTGTATCACATCAAAATCAATGTTATTTCAAGTCTTCATTTGTCTAGAGAGTCAACATTCAAAGGGTCAACCTATTCCTCAAACATGTCAACCTTAATTTCAATTACATGACTGTTATCAAAACTCTGAAATTACAAAGCCTCCCATGAACAAAGACACTTTGAACATAACTTGAAAGAGTAAATATTTGGTCTGTCTCGTCTTACCAGTGTGGCATTCTTTCCATAGTTGACCCAACGTAGAGTTGCAAAGTTTGTGGATTCAGCACAGTTGAAGCCGTGGTTGAAGCCAGCGTGGTAGCCGTAGGGGAATGTAATTATAAACTCCCCTTCATTCTGAGTTACCTGTTGCAATGCAAAATACAAATGAAATGATATGCAGTTCAAATGTAGAAGTTAAATAAATTCTTGGAAAGGCCAAATATGCCCATTTACCTGACCTTTACTATCTAACTGTTTTAACTATTTGTTACAACTGTTGAAACAAAATAACTGATAGCTACAAACTGTTCACAGTTCCTTGTAGAAGAGGTACTTTTGAACCAAATAATGGACTATTACAATTTCTCCATTGAAACATATACTCCTATGCTTCATCTGATATGTACGAAATTATAAAAATGCATTCAGGTAAAGAGTTTTCTATGGATATAAAAAAGAAAAAGTGGAATATTAAAATTTTATGCATTTAAAAGGTGTGGAAAGCCTGGCTTTTTGAGCAGTTGATCTATCATTCGCTGGGTCAATCAGTAGAAATTTGGGGCATTTTCGTCACTGGCTAGTGATTACTAGCTAATCCATAATTTATAACAGTTCATATTTAAGGCTAAAATTTTTTAGATGACCAAAAAGTGTGAAATATTTGATTATTACCCATCAATCTCAGTGAAAAACAGTCAGAGTTTTAGAGGCAATAAAGGAGTTTGGCTCCTGAAAAACATTTCTTCCTCCAGTCAAACTTAGCTGCATCTCCCAGAATTTAACATCTTCCTACAAGTTCCATGTTACTGTGGCATTGCTTAAAAATAAGTGAACACCTTAATTTCATTCTTTCTTTGCATATTGCCCTGAAATGTGCAACTGTGAATCCCGTCATCTTTGAGAAACTTGCCTGCCTGTAATCAAGAGACACATCAAGCCAGACGAAAACACAGGCATGGGTAGGGAGGCTGAAAGCGAGACATTAACTTCCTCACCTAACAGTAATGGTTCACATATCAAACCAACAAATCCCTCTTCACTCCAGCAAGAACAGAGGAGAGTTTTATTTTTACACATGAATCGGGAAAAGTTCACCGGCAGGTGTGCAGAATGCAACATGTTCACTGTGATAATGACATCCTGAGGGGGAGTGCTGGGAGAAGTTAAGTGGAGGGGGTCGTATGCTGGCTGTGGGGAACTTTGGATGTCTGCCCTGCACCCCCCCTTCAGTTTCTCATTAATTTTTGCACTGTGGAGGTTTGTGCTGCAACAGAAAGGTGAAAAGATGGCAATTCATTTTCTGTGACAGGCTCCGATGACGATCTTTACTCATGGCTACATCAACGCTGAGTCATTTGAAACAAGCCCAACCTCCTCTCTAATTTATGGATGACCCAGGAACGGGAGAGCGAGTGAGAAAAGATAACTTTACTGACATTATCTTAATTTTGATATTTCAAACTTAATTAATTCTCTTGTGCCACCCACTAGAGCCAGGCCAAAAATGAATTAATGACCATCAATAGAGGGTGCCAATCCATGCATCTTTAAGTGCCTGTCTTTTGACGAAACTTACTGGCTGAATAAAGCCCCAAATGATTCTAGATAAACAAATTGATCATGCTGATCAATAAAATGTCAGCTTATGTTGTGTATGCACCACTCACCTTGTCAAAGGGAATGCCATATTTCTTCAGGATGGATGGAGATATCAGTGTCATCTTGTGACGGAGGAAGGCATCGCAGCCTTGGGAGCTGCCAGGGAAGAATCCTGAAAGGGTTGACAGAGAGCATGTTACACTTCAAGAAGGTGAAGGAAGCAATGTTTAGATCTGCTACTAACATGCACCCTGGCTGGGTCAGATTAGGTTGACGGCCATGAGCAGTAAAACTGATGATCAGGCATCTACCAGTGTGGGACAGAACTGGGCCTGAGTGGGTTTTGTGGAGTCCCTAAACATCCTAAGCTATTTTGTGTTACAAGAAAAAGTATGATTATCATCTAAAAAATTCACATAGATTTCCAAACAACACTTAGATAATCCAAATGTATTTTGACACCCACAATTAAAGAGCTTTCAGCATGTGAAAAATAGCAGCGTTTATCACATTACTGTTATAATCCCATAACCTGGAAAGGAAAATCCAGTTTCCCCTGTGACACAGAAACAAATTAATTTGCTACCTTGAGTGCGTTATAATCGTATTAGCAAAGACCATGTAAATGCATCAATTTTGAGGATTCAAGATGGATTTCAGAAGAAATCTGATGGACTGCAGAACTAAACTAAAACCAGGTTCCATCACCTCAAAACTGTGATGCTACTCAAGCCAAACAAAGAGGAAAATCTTTGCCTGGAGATCTGTGAAGTAAAATTAATGCAAGCTAACAATTTTACAGGAAAATATCAAAGGTGACCTATTATGCTTCCTGGAACAGGTTAGGATAGGTCCATGTGCTATACAAAACACGGCCTTAACTTTTTAGCACAAAATTATTCTTAGATAAAGAGATGTTACTCTGGTCAGTTCTGCCTATTTTGAATCCCTTTCAGCATAGCTCAAATCCAAGTAAGATGCTGATGGCCACACCCTCCAACTCAGCTTTTACAAACACACATGATGTGCAATTATATAACTGCTCATCCTCTAAAAAGTAAAAGAAAAGCACATAAACCTGCAAAATGTGAATTGTGCATTATAAGTTCCCTTTATAGAAAGAGGACATGTTTTAGCAATGTCCTGGCTACTCTCAATACTTTATGCAAAATAATTAATGCTAAATAATATAACTTTTTTTTCTATTGCTGTACTAAAACTGTTGATCCTAAGTCCCAAAGGTCCTAACTAAAAACCCTTGTAGTGGCAGTATTTTCTAAGACTTGTTAAACTATGTGATGTGCAAAAAAAACCCAAAACAAAACAAAACAAAACCCATACTAATCTTTTAATGAGCAAACCAGAAATTGTTTAGCTGCCTCAACTTCTGATGCTGCCTGGTTTTTGGAAGATAAATCAATTTCCTTCATGGCGCATACTGTCTTGAGATCAGGATGTGCTGACATTTTGGAGGTTTAAAACCCGCGCTCGCCCTCTAAAACAAAGGCTCGTTTATGCTCCTAGACGGCCTCAGACAGTCTGTGTATAATCGAAAGAAAGAACTTTTTCCCCCGTTGACAACGCTCCCATTCTTTATAGTCTATACTCGCCTTTACTTCAGAGGAGGGGCTCCATCTAAGCCTCCCACCAGTTAAACTTTAAAGTGACTGACAGTATAATCGCCACACATTTCATCCTTCATTTTCACCACATTGTTTCAGCCTCTGTTCCTCCCTACAAAGCAAAAGTGGGAGAGAGTGGCTCCACGCTCTTGCTGCCCTCGTGCTTGTTGGAGCTGATAAAAAGGTGAATAATGTGCTGACAGAGCCTGGGTATTAATCCCCATTAAAATGCAGCTGGCTCTCCGAGATCTCCACAGGGTAATATTAACTTAAAGGTTTCACTCTGTCCTTTTGAATTTCAGAATTAGGCAGCTCTCTCTCTCTCTTGCTTTTCTCTGCGTTTTCCCTGCTTGTATACAAAGTCCAACATTTTGGGAGAAACTGTAAACTAAGTAATACAAGTTACAGGTGAATTTGAACCCAAAACTTGATTGGAGTTTTTTCTTGACTACAGTCTCTGAACTTTTGAACATTTCTGCAAAAACCAAAGGTGTCAGATTGGGACCTCCATAAACATTATGGCCGTGTGTGCCAACAGTGGCTTTAATAGGTCATGTGTTGGCCATTTAACAGCTGCTTCCATCCAAACCAACAGCTGTTAAGGTGTGATTTGAGGATTAATATAGAAATAAGAATTGTTTTATATGATGTGAATTACCGTAGTTAAATTGTATTTGAGCAAATCAAGCCACAGAATATATAGAATTGTACTTTTTAACCAATTTCATTGGGAAAAATGGGGCTTAGCTAACCCTGTTGCAATAAGAAATTAATCAATCACTTGATAAATTAAAATGACTTTGATCATTTCAAATATGATAATTAATTTTGAAGGGCTGTGTTGCTGACAGACTTTATAACCCATTTTATTTATATTAGTTTGTGTGATTTTCATTTCCTATTAATTTGTTATTTTTGATTGTTATGTTTTATTTTAGATATTTAAAATGTCTTCCAGTTCCAGTGTTGTGTTCTGTAATAAATTAAAAGTTTATTACTCTTTAATAGTGCAAACTCTTAATATAACGTCATAGATGATGTGAAAATGGTCTTATAGCAATAATTTCTTGGACATCCAGAAAAATTTGTTATTGTGGCAGATCTACTTTTCAGCAACTACTTGTTTCTTATATTCTAAGTAATGTGTGAGATTTCCCATCTATTCTATCCTTAAAGGACGACATTCATAACTGGTTTGCTTTGAGCATGTCGCAACATCACAGACTGTCATGCACTTCGGATTAACCCACTCTTCATCAGATCCCAGATCCCCCTCTCCCTCTCTGACTAACGTGCACTACTAAAGCTAATCCCCATTGATCAAAATAAGAGAAAGATGGGCACACAAGATCTTAAAAAGAAAGTAGGGGATGAAAGCAGACGTCATGTGTCACAGAAAGAAGACAGAATGGGTTCACTTCACTGTGTCTCGTTTATCCACCTCAGATAATGCTTCTTACTTTGGCAGCAAATACGGTAAAAAGAAGAATATAATTCAGATTATAATTTCACTGAGAAGGCCAACTCAATAAGCCCCATATACAAGTGCTGCCATGCACTTTCCAAAAGCCAGCAGGTGGCTTGGACAATGAAAAGCTGGGATCGGTGAATGGTGACTGAGTATTAGCAAATGAGAAGGTGACCAATCATTTGACCAATGCAGGAACGTGTGCAAAGGAAGGCAGCTATACGGTAGATTATCCATTACGTCAATGGGACTGAAACATACTTTGGCTTGGCTGTTGCAGACAACCCAATACTGTTATGCTGCCAACCCGCCAAGCAAGAAAGCCTCAGGTGTGAGGCAGCTGACTTGCATAAGAGTAGACCACCTGTTTCAGCTCAATTTTGTGATTTCAGTTAAAAACACAAAGACTACCTTTGTGTGGTGCATATTTATCTGTAACATTTTGGGAAGGTATCAGAAGTAGAATACCCCATTTGGTTTCCGTGGTGGGTAGTTTCTCTACTGGGTGACATGTCAAATCTAACTAAATTAAAAAGGCAGACACATTAGGGGCAAGCCTTTTAAAAGGGTGGTTGTCCAACACACATAATGACTATTTTGAAGCTCTGTGATATTGCTGACTTGATTTACATGTTGCCACCGACCAGAGTCAGCTCAGAGTGGGGCCTATGATGGGCCCGTTTGTACAAAAAAAAAAAAGAAAGAAAGAAAAAGAATAGCTTATGTTTCCTTCAGTAAACTAATTGTGTCACCATGTCTCTTCCTGAGGAGCATACTTGATCTTGAGATTCTAGTAAAGAAATGGCATTTTTTTTAGATCTTTATAAACTAAAGCAGTATTTTTTTCACTAATTCTACTTAGGAGGAAAACCTTTTACAAGACTCAGTAGTGTAGCAACAATAGTTGTGAAATTTATTTGAGAAAATAAAACTAAAACATTGATTTCTTCAAGTATTTTGGATAAGTCTGCAAGAAATCAATTAGTAATGGTATTCAATTTGTTTTCTGCTTTAGCCATGTTTCTGTAAGATTTGTGTTTAGACAGCAAAGGGTTCAGCTCTAGTCGTTGAACCAAATTAAATGACATCACAGCAATTTAGAAGTTTGAGCAATTTTCATGAACCTGTACAAAATGTTTTCTGAAAGTTTGAAAAAAGATAAATCCATTCAACTCCTATCAAAACATTTTTTTTCATTCGCCATCCTCTACCCTCCTAATCTGTTAAGATATTTAACAGACATTTTTTCAAGCTGCACTTCTCCCCTCAGCAAAGTGACAAAAGAAATCCCAAGAAAGTAGCATACTCCCACAGAATGCATGTCAAAAGGTTTTTGTAGGGCAGAGCCCCAGAGTGTGTGACTGTATTCAGTAGAAATATATTTCTCAGACAAGGAGGAACTGTTGTTGGATGTTATGTTGTCAGAAATAGAGCACTGATCTCTCCAAAGGTTAGCTGGATTTCCCAGCTTACATTAGTGTCATGGTGGAGAAGCTCCCGATTGACATATAGGAACTAAGCTAAGGCTGAAGAATGAACCTAAACTAAGACCGAGAAGAGGACATTAAGCATGGTGAACTCAAGCTGAAAAATATAACATTGTTGAAGCTGGATCGTGGAAACATAACATGGAGTGTCACATGAAGCTGGAAGCAGTCTGATTTCGGCTGTGGAACTGATGATCGGAGATAGACTGGGGATGAAGCTGAGGGACAGGTGAAGCTAAAGTGTGAAGCATTTTGAAAGCAAGTCAGGTCTGCCAGAAAGTGCTCACCTTGACCCCCATGGAAGATGAAACAGAATGTTTGGAGCTTGTTAAAATTCTCCTCCTATATGATCTACTTGTGAAAAACGCTGCTGCAGGCTGAAGCTGAAGGCCAAATAAATTTGAGTTTGCATCAGAATAATAACAAAAAAAAACCCCTCTAATCATAGCAGGTTTGGTTGTAAACAAAAGATCAAAATATACGACATCCAGGCAAACAGACTGGAATGATGCCAGAGCCTTATTAATAAAAACTGAGACAGCGAGATCGCACCCCCCCCAAAAAAAAAGAAAACTTCAGATCTTTAGTCTAGTCAGGTTGCAACAACACAATGAAGGGAAGATAATCTAAAGAACAACAAAAATAACCAAAGCTTTACACGAGGACTGCATGTGAGAAATCTGGACCAGGTGGTGAAGCAGTGAGAGATACAGTTTAATGACAATTTCCAGGAATAATCAGAGAAGCAGTAATAGCCTATGAGAAACCTAACCTAAATCGGCAGCCTAAAGCTAATTAACACAGCTTGTCTTAGAAATAAGGAAACACAATAAGCATGATCATTACATTTCTTCATCTTTTATGCACTAAACAACATGGCTTATATGTTCTTACTGAGTAAAGCCTGAACAGCATCTAAATGTGGTAAAGAAAAAAACTCATGCATAATATATGAAATTTAAAGTTGGTTCTCCTGGCTTACCTTGTGCAAGCCTCTCCAGTCTCTTGCCATGCTCAGGAGGAACACTGTACCTGCAAAGAGAGGCAATGGGGTGCTCAGTTATGTCTTTTACCGTAAAGGTGGATGATCACAAGCCTGACTTCTCAGCAACTTAATGCCCACTGTTTTCTACAATCTAATTTGAACAAGTTGCAAATTATTGACTTCTGCTCCACAGACCTTGTCAAGCAAAAACAATATTCACGGTGGTGCTTTTATGTCGCAAGTAAACAGCAATTATGCTTTGTTTGCGAAAGGAGGTAAATATCTGCATAGTAATGCAATCAAACTAAAAATCTAGCAATATTAGAAAAATAAAACAAAGCATGGTGATTCTAGTGGAATAAACAGGAAACAAATAGAAGCTCTGAGCTTTGGCACATCAACACACTCCACTCGGAACCAATCTGTATTGTTTGAATATTGCTGGCGAGATGCACTTCATGTCTACAAAGCAGTTTCTTTAATTGTTTGTTAAAAAATAAATGCACAAAGAAAAGTCCCCTCAGTGATGACATTTGTGAAAAATATATGAGGACATGACTGTGAAACTACTTTAAGAATTAATACTAACATAACAGCATCAGTCTCAGAAAAAATTGAGAGCTAAATCTTTTTGTGGTGATGAATATCATAAAATATTTGAAAGGAGAAAAGAAGAGGGGAAAGGGAAGGTGGTGATAGAAGAGATTCGAAAAAAATCTGGTGAAGGAAAAAAAGAAGAGAAATGACTGTTTTGAGAGTGTTGGGGGGTTTTTAGCCCTTAGCTCTGAGCAGATTCAGAAAACAAATTGTCCAGGGTGTTAAGTTTTTTCTGCACTGATGTAAGATTTGTGAAGGCCAGTGTTATGTTTAATATTTAAAAGGTGCAACTCCTGCTTTAAATAAGCTTACACATCCCTATCAAATTTTAAAGTCAACGAAAAGTTATTATTTTCCCTATTTCAATTAGAAAGTATAAATTCGCCACACATGTAAGTTTTAGATTACCATATATTTCTAGTATTTAAAAAAAACCTGCTGACCCCAAAACTTGTTTTTTACCCATTATATAGATGTGTATTATTTTCTGCCTTTCAACATTTCTCAGTCAGTGGAAGATTAATCAGTGAATCTGCTCTTTATGCACCAATAGACCTTTATATCTGATGAAAATCTCTGCTTTGCATCGTATTGTTCTTCAAACTGGTTCCATAGCCCTAGTTCAAACTGGCTCTTCAACATCAACTCCCCATTCCATGTCAGGACCGGTCTGCTTATCGTGAAGTGTTAAAAAAAAAAAATACACACATGTAGATCATAGAACTATTTCTCAGCCCAAAATCGATATGCTACAAAGGCAAGGATGTGATTTCAGAAAAGCTGAGAGCATAACAGAAAAATTGCAACATGATGAAAAGAGACATGATGCCCCTAAGTACGATTGATTTTGAGGGATGTTGTGATAAGTGCATTTCATGGAGCAAAGTTTTAACATTTCTTGGAGAGCAACCATTACCTGCCATTTAGATGGGCACTGCAACAAGAAGGAAGCTGAATTGGAAACATGACTAATTGCACAAAGTCTTACTCGCACCACTAATTGGTGAGAGCATCAGATTAAGCTCTAACAGAGCTTAATCTCATAATTGTGTGTGCTACAACAAGGACAATAGAGTAATCTCTAAAAGAGCTTAATCTTTAAATGTCATTCTGTTGTTTCACACTGTTCTTTTTACCTTTTGTTCTATTCAGCAAGCTAATAGGTTTCTGTATTGTTGTATTTCATAAATATGTCTACGTTTAATAATGTTTGAGATTGTTTTTATTTATTCAGTAATACATCTGACAATTTTCAAAAGTATAAAAAAGCAATTCATGTTACAGAAAGACCCTCTTGGCAGAAGAGAAATTAATTGACTGGGTAAATGTCTGCTTGGTCCTCCATAAATTTGGATTCTGTGCCATTTTATTCTTCCAATAGGCTCTCCGTCTTTGCCTCCTTTTCTGCTAAATGTTTTCTTTCCACTCATCCTTCCATTGACATGCTTGGATGCAGCCCTGAGTGAACAGCCATGTTCTTTAGCAATGACCTTTCATGGCTTTCTCACCTAAAGAGGAGGACAATGACTGTGCTGGACAACAGCGAAGTGAGAACCCCTCCCTATAATTGTGTAGGCTATAACAAGGACAACATTTCTATGATAATCTATTTTTATTGTTCTAACCGTATGTTAAACTATTGTTGTCGAAAACTTGATATTGGGTTTTCTTTAGCTAGAAGCTTCATACTGAAATTCAAAAAGAACTAATTTAAATGAATCAGTGTGTGTAAATCTAAATACAACTCGAGTTTCTGAATTATTGAATTAAATTAGGTTTTCAGTATTTTCTAATTTACTGAAATGCATCTGCATTCTACTATTCGCTATTTTTGGTTTAAAATCTTTAAATGTGCGATCATCCCTTCTAGGAATTTTATCAGAGCTATTACTGTGAAAATAAACTAACTTCTGTTACAGGGGAAAACTGCATTACCATAATGAATGTGTTGATACTAAATTTACAGCAGGTAGGCACTGAAAAGTCATAAAACATTAGTCCAAATATCAGATGCTGCATTTAGAAACTAAATGTATTTGAAAACAAAGTAGGAGGGAGGAAGTGAAACTCTAATCTGTTCATTTGTTTAAAAAAAAAGAAAAAACAATATAATAATATCCTGTAATTTTTTCCACTAGTTCGTGTAACTCTCCAGAGACTGTAGGCTATAAACACAGCCTGGATAAAACACCTCGTCTATTCTTCCTCGCTCAACCCGTATGGGTGCATGAAACAAACTGAGAAATGGAAAAAGGAGCAAGAAAGACAGATATGGTGAGAGGCAACAACACTTAATGAGAGACAAGAGGAATGAGGAGAAGCGTGGGACAAAAAGAAAAGATAAAAATAAAGAAAAATACAATTGAACAAAGTTAAAGGAATGGAGCCACACTGCCACCTGCAGACTAAAGCACAGACCTTCACACAGTCACACTGCTCCAGGATTTTTCCTACACCAACAAGAGTGCTTATCTGTTCTGTCTAACAAATATTAAAAGCTTTTAAAAAAGAATTATTGATCATAGTTATGTTAATTCTTAGAGCAGCTGAAATCTTTGAATCTATATAAAATACACAATGAGGAAAAAAGACAATTGTTGAGAATCAGAGTATTACCTTGTCCTGTGGCTGTGTAACAAAGACAATAAAAAGTAATAACTTCCAACTGCTGGCAGATCCCATCATCCTCTAGTGACAATTGGAAACTTTGCATCCATTCCAAATCCTGCCTGACTTCAGGCTATGATTTTTCATTAGCAGCCGCACTTTGCATGTGCCCAGCAGGCATTCTCATGAAGCGACAAAATGAGAATCCATGAAGCACTGATACATAGACAGGGGATCATTTTGCCTGGTTGACCTTTTAATGCCAACCTCACTTCACACAAAATGCACTGTAAGCTAGTGCATTTTCCAAACTGCAGCTCTGTTCAACTAGATGGAAATAACAAGGTTAAGCTGATGGCTTATTCTTGCATAAAACTACGCATTAAATAAGAAATTTCTTGAAATGCTTAAGACTTGTCCAACAGTAAAGATAGACTGTGATGTCAATGTACACACATTTTAAGACACCAGTAGGACTGTTTCATACAAGCAGCAACAAAAAAAACAAAAACAGCAGTGCAGCATGAGTCCACCAAATCCCATCCACCACTGTTACCATGGCAGCAACATGTATGTGACTCCAGAGGCAGTCAAGAAAAAAAAAAACCCATAATACAGAGAAAATGAAGGCTTTAACTTATCCCCCCCTCTCTCGGGGAGGAGTATGATTAATCTATGGTGAGCCGGTGTTCCTGGCAGGTGGAATTAAGGAGTCATCACAGGTTGAGAAGCTGCATGGCTCATGTGGTGATTCCCACACAATTGGGATACATTTGCACTTTTTTTTTTTTTATAGGATTCAGTAAACAAGCTGTAAATCAACAACTTCCCCATTTACATCGTGATAGAATTTTAAGTGCATATGGTCCTAGTTTGGGGCATTTTGAAAAGGACAATGGGTACAAATCTTAATTTGTAGTCATTCACACTCAATACAGACAAATTGTGGCTGCAAGAAAGTTGCTTCAACAAAACATCTGAATGAACTCCTCCAAATGTCTTTCTGAATTAATGAATGAAAGAGGCCTTGTTGTGAATGTAGGCATTGCTTTTTTGTTCTCTTGGATTCAAATGTAATGACTTCCTTGATAACCATTCACATGTGACTTTAAAGTGAATCACATAGGGGTGACTCATAAAAGGGGAGTAGGTGTGTTTCAGGAGCATGGGATTCTCTTTCTCCGCCTTAAATCCATCCTTTACGTTCAGGGTCATTTCTTTTTTTTGTTTTCATGTAAACATTTTAATTTGAATCACAAACAGAGTCAAGGAAATATTAGCAGGTCTGTGGATCATATATTGTGTGTTTAGCACATAAATTGGAATGGAGAGTTGACTGTGGAGGCGGCCACAGAGCCAAAACATGCATTTATGGGAGGGCAAGCACACAACCAGCAGTGCTTTGCTACTCTTTGTCTTTCTACACCTGCTTGCCATTTGTAAGCATACAGCGAAATATCACTGAGCTCTCAAACACAAACATTAAGCTGTGCTATTGCACCAAAAATGTGTAGTTTTGCCTTCATATCACAAGAGCACAACAAAAAGAATCCAGCAATATCATGTAATAATGTGATACCGCAGGAATGTGGTTAAATAACTGACTATGACAGTCATAGTGGTTCTTTCCTGAACAAAACATTAACTTCATCTCCAAAATGCCACACCCAGACTCCAAACTGAGAATAAGGACTATTATTACCCTTCCTGTCCTCTGAGTTCAGAAATGATAATGGTGCACTACACAGGGGGGAATGAAAACTGATGGAGACATAATGGACTTCCTGAGGAACACTTAAAAAAATATTTCACTTACGTCAGCCATTCCCTGCCTTCCACTCAC